GTATACGCCATCCTTCTTATGATGTAACAGGTACATCAGGATTTATGGGAAGTGTTCCCGGTTCCGGCTGACCTTATCTATGCAGCCTAACATTGAATTATAGAAGTCTATAATGTGTTATGTGTATGCTAGGTCAAAGAGATGTGCTTTTAGTCTAGATTTGAACTCACAGAGTGTGTCTGCTTCCCGGACAATGTTAGTTATTGTGTTACTATTTCAAAGTTTTGGTGCTAAATAGGAAAAGGATCTACCGCCAGCAGTCGATTTTGATATTCTAGGAATTATCAACTGGCCGGATTTTGAGATCGCAATAGACGAGAAGGACAGAGCTCGCTCAAGTACTGAGCTAAACCATTTAGTGCTTTGTAAGTAATCAGCAATATTTTCAAATGTATACGATGTTTATTAGGGAGACAATGCAGTGTTGACAGAACCGGGCTGATATGGTCATCGTGGTTCTGGCTCTCAATTACAAACTATAGCAAGAAATTCAACATTAGGGTATCGGATCATCTGACAGTGATCCAGAACCATAAGAGAGACTGACTGAGTCATGAAACATGGTAATTATACAAAACACAATGACTCAAACACAAGAAATTCAATACTTTAGAGTCATGTCAGAGTCCAGACTGAAGTCCTGTTGATTGATCTGCTGAAGCACGCTAATTAAACGTTTTAGTTTGTGTTTAATATGTAAGGGATAATGTAGAGCGAGGCGGTTGTTATAGCGAATACAACCCCGACAGGCTGATCAGGACCCCGACGCGAAGAGGAGGGGTCTTGAATCAGCCTGAAGGGGTTGTATTTGCTATTACAACTGCCTCGCTCTACATTATCCCGCTTATTACATGGCTAAATCAATAATTTGACACAACATATTGATTTAAAAAGGAGTTAATTGATTTAAAACCTATTATATTGCTTCCTCTAAAGAAAATAGTCCGTTCCGTCTCTACGGTTAGAATCCTGCGTCCATAGCAACGCTCTGTTTTTCATGGCTACGGTGTGTTATACTAGCAGAGGTCTGTTATCAAGAAATAACAGACTGCATTCTACATTAGAATTCAACCAAGCCATGTAATAGCTAATCAACCCATTTTATTCCCAACTGGTGGTAAATGACTAATTTTCTCAAGATTTTGTTCTAATCATTGCTTTAAAAATATAAACAAAGAGGCTAAAAGGTTGTTTCTGCTTTTTAGCTACACTCCCTAACAATTCATAGCATATTAATTTCACATACAGTTATTGCTAAATAAGGGTGGCTATAGGGAGCCACATCATTTGTCCAACCCTCCAAATGTGCACACGTCACAATCGGAGCACGAGAGCTTGTTGTTAGCTTATCACAGGATTACTGCCACCTTTGCCTCTCCGCAAGAGTAATTACCTGTGAAAAACCAATTAAACTTGCATTGTAATAAAGCCAAGATTACAAACGTAATTAATTTTCAATTATGAGGAAGCACCAACAAAAAGATTACACAAGAACGGCCGACTACCCCAGTAACGAGGCTCATTTAGGTAACGTCTTGCATCAATGTTCATATATTCTGCGTACATATGCAACAAACAAGCAGTTTTAAGTTAAATTTGCTTTATTGTGCATCATTTTGTCTGTTTCAATAGCCACAATGAATTTTTCTTGTAATTTACATAAAAACTCTCTGTACAGGCATTGCAACAGGAGAAAATGCTAATCATTTAAGCTATCGATAATATTACACAATGGCTTATAATCTTCATTTCTAACATTTAAAAAAATGTGCATTTGACATGTGCTGGAAAAATCACTCGATGACCCTAGGAGGCGCCATCTTGATTTGGAGTCGTGGATTGAAGGGAAAGCCCCGATGGGTCCTGGCGGGATGAGCGACGGGCACCTGATGTGGGCACCTCCAGAAGAGCCTGAACAGTCTGAGCGACACGCGTGAGCCCCTCTTCCTCCAGAATCAACTGCGATGGACACAGTGTGTCCTGGTGGGATTTGATCGAGGGGAGAAGAAAGAATACCAATATAAGTTTGTTTACACAAATGGTGCATAATATAAGCAATAAAACATCCTGGCATAAACAGACGGCTCAAGGAATATTGGTTCTTGTATTGCAAGCCCCTAAAAATCTGCAAATATAGGCTTCTAAGAGGAGATGCTAAAGCGTGAAGTGCACTCGGGGTAAACAAGCAAGATCCTTGGCTCATTATGAAAAGCTTTCCATGCACCTATAAGGATGGTTGAGAAATGGAACTCCCATCTGTTATCTCAAGAACCCACAACATGCAAGATACAGGATCACACACACAAGAGGCACTTGTGACACACGGATACAGGAAGGACAGGCAATGCATGCAGAACAACACTTGATCGCCAAATAATTTCTTTGAATTTCCGACTATATGGCACAGCAGCAAGACCCCGTCTTTCAGAGAAGCAGTCATGCAGTTATAGCACTTCACAGAGAGGATGCGATTTCATTCCAGGCTGAAGTACACATAACAAGCCAGCACTTCACCATCTTGGGAATCCATCATGCATTCCAATGATTAAGTTCAGTCAACCCTAACGGTATACATAAAATATAGATTATGAACGAGTTGCATAGGCTCTTATTGCCATATTCAGGCTGTATATCACACATGCAGTAGGCCTATATATCAGATTTTGTGCTTTAACACAATAAGAACGCATTATGTTTTAACCCTCTATTGTGCCGTTTGGCCATACGGTAGATTAATTCACTTTCTTGGCTTTTAGAAAAAAAACAATGACATATGACATATGACATTGTTGAATTGAAATCACTGTCTTTAAAGAATCCAATAATGTTGTTTTTATGACATTTAAATGAGATTTTTCTCTCCAAGGTTGTTTTTCCTGGGGGTCAACACATGCTCCTCATCTTGCCCTATTAAAAACATTTCTGTACATTTCTTCAACATCTGGATTTTTGCTGCCTCTCTGGTAAGTTAAATCGATGTTTTTGCTTTCAGATTCTCACGTTTTTTCTAATATAGTTAACAGTAAACTGAGAAAATATGAACGCATCCATATGGCAAATGGCAGTGATGCATTTCCTTATTGTTAGGGGCATCAATTACTGCAATTAATTATTTATTTGCAGGTGTTTATTGTAATTAGAATTATGCAGATCTCAATTATGATTAATGTTTCATGTGTTCAGGGGGAAAAAAAACATCACAGAGTAATATTCTAGAAATGTCACGAAGAACAGAATTAATAATGAGTTTATAGAAGGTCCAAATGCATCAATTCATAAAAGTTCATCACACTTAATTATAGGGAAACTTGAGGAGAATCCTGAAATTAAAATTGATTTTCCTTAATGGTAGAGAGTTGCCAAAAGAAATATATTATTTGGAAGAATCTCTTAACAATTTGCCAATTTTATGTGGGAAAAAACGTTCCATCATTAGAAGACAATGCAACACCATAGAGGGTTAACTGAACTGTTCTCACCCGTAAACACACAGTACTTCACAACGTCAAAGTGAAAAATGAGCTGGCCAGTTAATTAATGAATAATTAAAAATAATAAACAGAAAACAAATGAGCGCATAAGTATTCACCCTCCTGCTTTGACACACTTTAATGAGTTCAGAAGCAAGCAAAATAATAGCTTGATTAAAGTACACCTGTACACAGATGAGGTGTTCCACATGATTTCAGAGTAACTGCACCTGCGTCTATTAGTGTATTTACACCGAAACACTGGCGAGTGTGGTAGGAAGAAAGACTCTGATGCTTTAAAAACGCTGCTTGCTCAGGGCAATGACATTCATCCAGTGTTGATTAAAAGTCTGAATGCTATGGAGCAGCTGTATGTGAGAGACCCTAAAGATTTTAAGTCTAAAGTTCGATGAATCCGAAACTGAACTGTTTGGTCTAAATGCCAAGCACTGTGAAAAGAAGAATGAGCAAAAATGCCATTATCACTATGTGAAAAAGCTTAAAAAGAACTTATGTAAGATGTACTGTAATGGATGGTAAAGTGTGAATACTTGCGCTCAGTTATTTTCTTGGTTTAATCGGTTTGTTCTGGGTGTTATAAAGTTGTTTGTGCTGATGGGTGGCAGAACTTTTTCATCTAAATAATGTAATACATCAAAATCTCTTACAGTACATTTTATATGAACATATACAGTATACTATCATTGAAAAGTTTGGGGTCAGTAAGTTTTTCTTGGATGAAATTGATTAAAAGTGACAGTGAAGACATTAATAATGTTACAAAAGATTTGATTTCAAATAGCCTAAATTGTTCTTTTAAAATGTCTATTTATCAAATAATGAAAAGAAAAATGCATTACAGTTTCCACAATAAATATTAAACAGCACAATTGTTTTTCACATTGATGACAAGAAATGTTTTTAAAGCACCAAATCACATGAAAGCTCATGTGACTGATGCTATTAACACAGTGCAAAGAAAATACGTTTTGTTGCTATTTAGTGCAAATACCAGTAAATGCTATCTAAACTAGAGTTGTTACTGTATGTTTTTTTATCAAATAAATGCAGCCTTGAGCATAAGAGACTTTCAAAAACATAAAAAAAAAAAAAACCTTATACCAAAAAATCTTACCAACCCCAAACTTATGAACTGGTGTATATACTTTACTTAGAATATGAAAAAGACACACAGTGGGGTCCAAAAATCTGAAAAGGGATGTTTAATTATAAATTATAATATCAGCAAATATAATTTTTTTAACAATGAGTAGGCTACCCCACTGTGTAGTAGTGTATACTTTTACTTTGTGTAGCTATACCTACCTTTTCTCTACTTTCTACTACCCACACAATGGATCAACACTTACCTTTTAGCAAAGGGCACAGTAGCCTATATCTGGACTCATAAGCTACAGAGACGAGCTGACGTGAGGTTTTCATCCTCAGCACAGAGACAAAGAACCAAAGCAGAATTAATCATGAGCATTTGACAAAAGCACACGTAAAGCAGCAGACGACACATAAAAATCAGTTTCCTTTTTTTAATAATTTCTTTACAGACAAAAAAAAAAAATTCTTTATATCAATATAAACTTAACTTCTTAAATACACAGTATTTTATAAATATAACAAAATACATTTCGTGTGTTGCAACAGTTTAAACTAGGTAACATTTGGACGGAAACATTCGTGTAGATCTAGTGCCCTCTAAACTGCCTGAGTCTAACGTGTGTATAAGGACGGTAGAATTATCAGTCTTCTGTAAAAGCCTTCAACATGGACAGTAGCATTTCACAATCCTCATTTCATTTGACTGTAGCCTCCAGACTAGAGCAACTGTGATGAAGTCCATCTATGTGAAATGTGTCTGAGTTCATTTTCACAGTGGATTCATTTGAAATTAAATGTCTATTATGATTAGCTTTAGCATTGATAACAATGTATAATGTTCTAAAACCCTATCAACATCCCTTAAAATAATATGTTTAAGACATCGTAGGATGAGAAATGCATGTTGGTAACTAATTCCACAGCACATATCCCTTCACCTACCCTTGTTTCCCAGTCTCTCTCTCTCTCCTTATCGTTCACGGCAGATGAGAGGCTGCTCGTTAGTAAACTGTCGGCAAAGCTCCTAAATCACATTAAGTAGGCACGGAATACAAAAGCAACATCAGCATACAGCACCGCGGAAGATAGGTTCTCATGGCACATTACAGGACTACAAAAACACTATGGCCACATTTAGAATCAGGAAACGGCAGCTGAAGAGGCTTGAGGAGAAGCAGGACTCACAACCATTTCATCATCAATAAAAAAAAAAAAAAAAGGTTTAATTTGGTAATGTCTGCTTATCCACATTGTGCATCCACAAGCAGTATCTAATATACACATTTAAAATACGCTATTAATGTCCCCAAAGTCTTACTGGGTTTTTTTTTCCAGCTCAAAATGATCATAAAATCAATCCTAAGCTTATTCCTCAATTAATCTGTTCAATTTAATTAGTCAAATTTAATGTGCTCAGCGAGACTGGGGTTTCCACCAAATGCAGCTTCATCAGAACAGAGAAAAACATAAATAAACCGAAACAATAACTTAATTGTGAACAGTTTGCATTCAGGAATTATGTTAAGATGCTCTCAAGAAAACCAAAACGAACATGAATAAAAAAAAAAAAAAACTGTAACAAGTTAACACAGCTTTGAATCATATTAGTACCGTCAAAAAGTGTTAAAGGAACAGTTTAGGAAACACCACTGTCCTCTGGCGGTCACAGTCAACAAGATATGAGCGACAGAAAAGGAAAGTGAAATAGTCCACGCAGTCCCGACCCTAACAGATATCTACAACGTGTGAATTAAACCAAATTCAGCTGAGAAGTACCATAGCCACACTGTTAACATATTTACCAGATGCTACAAACTAATTTGCACAGCTGTGTGAGCAGAAAGAAACTACAAGCTTCTGAGGCACTTTAAAGCCCTTCAAGAGGAAAAAAGAGGATGGGGAGTTTGTGCCAGTGCTTTAAAACTCTTAGGATAACAAGATCCCTTACAAAGACAGTCATTCCCTCTAGAAGGTGTATAAACTATCCTGGGATCAACAGCAATGCTAAGGCAATCAGGTAGGAAAAGCCCTTCACGAGTGGAAACCATGTCTATGTACAAATAAAGTCTACACCCTCAACAGATAAAGGAGTATGTGACCATTGAGGAGTTGATTATAACTTTTTTGATGTGGAAAAATGTGGATATTCGATCTAGACCTCTGATAATTTGCGATATATTTCAGTATTTCACCATTTACAGAGCTTCGAAAGGTTCTCATATATGTTTCCAAACCTGAATATCTGTGAGGAGCTTTAATGTGTAAGCTGAAAGGCATTATGTGTAGAGAGTTATATATGTGCAGGTCTTGTCAACAATGTGTGTACACAGTACAGAAATGATGTATCCGTTACATTTACACATTGATACTCGCTGGCACTATGCTATAAGCTGGCAGTATAACAGGTAGAGCAAAGCCATGAGGAGAGAGTAGAAGAGCAGGAAGCCGCTGGAAAAAGGGGAGGAAGGAGAGACGGAGGGAGAGGTGACGTTCTTGTCCTCGTTCACCTCCTCCTCTATTGCCAGGAGCGCCGTCGCACAGCGATGCACTGCAGGTATCTTACTGCACAGGACATCAGACGCTAAACACAACTCCATCTGAGAAACAGAGAGACAGACAAAGGAAAGGAAGAACAATGCAAAGAGGACAAACAAAGATGAATGGACACAGCATTGAACAGACACACATGAAAGCAGGGTCATTTAAAGGGATAGTTCACTCAAAACTGAAAACTCTGCCATCATTTACTCACCTTGTTTTCTTTTTTTTTTTTACTTACATGACTTTCTTTCTTCCGTGGAACACTAAATGAGATGTTTATAAAACTAGTGTACATACGATGTCTAAGGCTGAACGATATTTTGTTTTTCTGCGTTAAATGTTTGGAAAAATGCAGGAAGTTTTCCTAGATTCATTTAAATAGCTATGTTTGGAAAGGATCAATCTTTCTAGGATGATTGGGGTGATTGTTGGAAAGTGCAGCTGCATAGAATATAGAAATAATAAAACACAAAAAAAGCAAAAAAAAAAAAAAAAAAAAAGAAGACATTTTACTCAGATTTTTTTGGGCTGAAAGATTTGGGTGTTGACACTTGGCTATAATCTCTTTACAAGAACGAACTTAAACCTCTTTCAGTAAGCAAAAAATTTTTAATTTCCACTTTAATAATTATTATTACATAAAAATATATATATATAAAAAAACATTGTAACAATACTACAGTAGTGTAAAATAAAAATAAATAGTAATAGTATTTAATAAAAATAATTACAAAATGATTACAATACAAATATTATGTTAAAGTCGTCATAAAATCTAAATTGACACTATTTACTTTGTTAACGCATATTACTAGTCTTGTAGTGAACAATTAATACACCGAAAGAAAATGTGTTTCTTTTTAAAATGGTAATCTTTAATCAAAATCTGAACATTTGCTTCCGCTCTGAAATGGCGTTTCCTCTCTGATGATGTCAGTTTGACGGCTTGGGTAGAAAACGCTTAACCAGGAGCGCTTTACCTTTAACGGTGGAAGAGTGAGTGGAGAGATAAGTAGCTAACCATTTAATATTTGACAAGTGTTTTACGATAGAAATGTTCAACAACAGACATTAATATCCCAACGATGCAAACTACTTGAATTTTTTCTGAACTGAAAATATGCTATCATTTACATGATTCATGTCATTCATAACTGAATGAGAAGAGACAAGAACCGTTTTGCATTTTCGACATATTAGACATGTGAATAAGATTAATAAAATGTGTGCATATTTTAAAATAAAATATTACATGCAAATAGTTTTAATTTATTGCTTCATAACAACAATTAGACCTAGAACTTATTTTACCATTCTTTTTCCATTCCCTTAAATCCCTTTTAATCCTTTAATTATTTGATTCATTTAAGCTGCAGTCCGTAACTTTTGTCGCTCTAGCGGTTAATAAACAGAACTGTATGCGTCTTGCAGAAGAACATGTTCTCTCTGTTTATGTCGATGACGAGTCACGCAGGCACTGGGATACTCCGCAGTGGTACGACCCATAACAGTCTAAAATTGTCCGAACATAAACACTTCTTATAGGTGTACTGTAGTGATTCAGGATAAGACAAAAACAATGTTTGGAAAATGGATTCAGGATGTACTCGCTCATTAAATTGTTACGGCCTGAGCCTTATGTTTATTTGCGTGTGCTTGTATTTCTCTGGTTCTCTCTCTCTTTCGGACTAGGCTCCGCCCCTGCGCACCTGCAGCCCGAGCGGGGAGAGAAGGGCACGGAGGTTGACCTACTACGATTTGTTTCTAGCGGCGTGATCGCTTCGATCACAGCGTGGCGTGCACTGAAGGAGAAGGGCTTGAGTGGAGTGTCGAGAGAGCCCTGTGTGCGTCATGATGTTTCCGCCAGCCGCTGTTTCATTGGTGCTTGTTTCTATGTTTCGTTGTTCTATGTTTGTTTATTTCTGTTAACATTATCTGTTGCCTGCTGATACGTGCGTCGTGTAGTTCCAAGAATAGTAGTTCGCGTGTCTTTATGTTGCTTACCCCCTTCTTTAATGAGCACTTTAATAGTGGGGTTCTTAACAAAATAATTTTTGTAAATTTTGCACTCAAAACCGGTTATAGTTGCAGCTTGAAATAATAAGCCAAAAAACGTTGGTCCCCCAATGTTCAAGACATGGTTACGGACTACTTCTATGATGATTTTTATGGCTGTATGGTGCATTTATTGTCCTTGACAGCCCAATCCCTATTCGCTTTCACTGCATTACAAGACAGCGGCTAAGACATTCTGATAAACATCTCCTTTGGGGTTCCATGGATGAAAGGCATTTGGCTTTGAAACATCATGAACTACCTGAGGTGACTACCCCTTTAAGATTAAAAAAAGCCATAGAGAGCACAAAAAAGTAGCAAATCGAGCTTGAAGCACTTGAAAAACAACATCAAAAAGCATTACCAGTCACATGTCAGTGGGCGAAGTGGATTTGTCTCGTTTACAAACAGCTCACACAATACGTCTCAGGAAGACAAATAATATGGAGGATGATAAAAGCAGCAAACAATAAAAAATTTAATTTATGTTTACCTCAGGGACTCCAAGCCTACGACATGCAGCAATGAAGTTTTCGACATTGAGGCGGCACTTGGCAGCACTCAGCTTTGGCTGAACAGACAGAAAGATTGAACAGATATTCATTAGAAAGCAAATTAAAAACAACCTGCTAGTAAACTAGCTGATCTGGGATCAGCTTCCTCCGAATAAGGATCACACATAAAAAGAGGATCTCACAAGTGTTTTTTTTTTTTGAGATACTAACTAGATTGTAAAAGAGATTTGAATATCTCAACCGGACATCACCTGGTAAAATAAAGGATAAATAAAATAAATAAAAAAAAGATTATGTTTTGGCCATAATGAGAATAAGATCCAAGCATTAGCTCACCACTGCCGGTGAGGGGATGTGGATGATTGACACGGAACGAGGTCGCACGTGATTGGCCAACTGGCAGAGAACTGTGCCATTGGACAACGCCTCTCCCAGATCGTCAGGCAGAGAGGTCTTGAGACGCGACTCCAGACACTGGAAGAGAAACATGGAAAGAGTGATACTACTGGGAAGATGCATCAAAAATGCTTCTTAAACTACACAACCAGATAAAAAAATATAAAAAATAAAAGACAAAGACCAAGGTAAACAAGGGGTAAAAACTAAGATAATCGTAAGAAAAATGGGGTAAGAGCTAGAGATGGAGAGATGAATAATACAGGATGCCTCTTTACTTTGCGCAGTTGCAAGATGTCTGTTCTGTCCTCTCGTGGGGATCTGAGTGTGGAGCGGGATTCGCTGCGGCCAGACTCCGCCAAACTGTTTCCTGATCCTGAGAAGAGAGCAGTAGGGTACAGCATATATTACTGACCAAATCAAAATTATAGGTCCTACAATCCTATATTACTTTTGTGTGTGTGTGTGTGTGTACCAGTCTTGACGTTGCAGCGTGAAGATGTGCGGAATAAGAAGCTGTTGGGTTTGGGAGCAGAACCTGTAGGAGAACAGGGCTTCACGGAGGGCGCATCTGTAATATAAGATTCATTAAATACTTCAAATTACAGCTTCAGCAGAACAAGCTACATTAATTAAACAAAACTGTAATCAATACATTGTTTCTATGTATAAATTATATTACATTGCTCTCAAAGAAACCAAAGCAAACATTCAACAGAAATGATTAAAAACAAAACCTGTCAAAAAGTGTCGAAGCACTTTTGTAACAGCACTGCCCTCTGGTGGTCACACTGCTTTCATGGGGGTTCATTTCTAAAGAATTTCTATAGGTAATTGAAAGAAACTCTTTCGTTTGAATGGCTGCATGTCGATTGTCTGTCACAGACCATGTTAGCTTTGCACTCAGTTGGGCCAAGTGTTGCATTCACTGTTGTTTTGCAATTTTTTTGCAGGAGAAATTCAGGCATTTCAATAGCAATCCACATGATTGGGAATTTCACATGAGGGTAAAGGATTTCACCATGCAGATTCTGCAAAGGGTTTAAGTTGGTCATGTGGATCAGCAGCATTGAGCAACCGAATACCGCTTAGTTTGAAAGTTACTTCTGTTTGAGCAATGCTTTGCGCATCACTACACTATTGCCAATACTTTTCCCCAGCTAATGTGACCGCCCCTAATATAGATCTACATTTTTAATAGTTTGTGTGATATCCATGTGATAAAGTGAACAGTACTTATGTTTTGCCAATATACTGTAGAGTTAGTTTAGATAGAGTTCCTAACAGAAAAAGCTCAAGCAAGTTTATTGTTCCTTTCGCAAGTAATAATGTGTTACTTTTTCCTGAAGGGTTGTTTGAAAAATGCTATTAATCAAACCAAAACTCATCAAAGTGCCCTGTTTAAAAACAATAAAAAAATTTTTTTTTAAGGTTTATTACTTTTTTTGGAGGTCTCCTACAATAGTTTACATGCAAAGGTCAAAAAACGCTTTAAATTTCTCAAAATATAGACTGCAGCATCACCTCTTTTCCTAGGGTTGGGTATCGTTTTCCTTTTAACGATTCAGATTCTACTTATCGATTCAGATTTTTATCGATTCCTTATTTCGATTCTAATAAAGTAAAAAAAAACTTCGATATCATTTACATTTATTTTACGTCTCATTGCAAAACATTTCTGAATACCATGAACATCAACAGGCTAAAGAACACTAACACAAGGAACTTTTGCCTATGGTTTAAAATTACCATAGCAAAAACCACTAACCTAACTAATAATATAAATTTCAAGCATTATTAAAGTAAATACTCTGAGTAAATAATACAAAATTATCAATCGCAGCACATAAGTACAACTGAACAAAGATACGTTTGAAATAAACTGTTATTTTATATTTGATTAGTTTGTATCCCTGAATATCTTAAAACACTGCACTTTATATATAAAATATACATTACAAATATAGTTACAAAAGTTATTTAGTCAAGAACAGCGAGTGAATTTCCTCTTTGTCTTTTGTTTGATTAGTGTTATAATAGAGACGGCAGCAGCAATATTACGCTGCTGTCACTTTAAGAGCTGCACAATATACTGTTACTCCTGTGTGCAGCACAGAAAACAACGTGTGAGTCGTCTCGCGCTTGAATGGTTTAAAGTCATATTAAAAAGCTCACAAAGGAATCGATAAGTCGAAATTTAATTTTTATGACAAGTATTTGATTCCAGAATTGGAATCGACTTTCAATTCCCAACCCTACTCTTTTCTCACAGTGTCTGAAATGGTTCAATAAAGTATTCGGTCTCTCTAAACCCCTTCTTTCCGAGACCCTCCTCTGTTGATTGGTCAGATCATGGACCAGTCTGTTGTGATTGGTCTACCGCTTACAGCGTGTGTCGGAATTTCCTCAGATTTTCAGAACACCGAGATACGAACAGTAACAACATCGACGATGTTCACGGGCAGCCAATGAAGACCATAGGCTGGCATTATGCAAACTTGTTACAAACCTATGTAGGTTCGTGCAGGAAGTAAGGGTGGAATTATCGATGACTCGTTTCTTTGGGAGACAACTATATTTATCGTGCACTTTGATCTTTGAAACTCTGCCTTTTACATTCACAAACAGCTATACACTCACCTAAAGGATTGTTAGGAACACCATACTAATACTGTGTTTGACCCCCTTTCACCTTCAGAACTGCCTTAATTCTACATGGCATTGATTCAACAAGGTGCTGAAAGCGTTCTTTAAAAATGTTGGCCCATATTGATAGGATAGCATCTTGCAGTTGATGGAGATTTGTGGGATGCATATCCAGGGCACGAAGCTCCCGTTCCACCACATCCCAAAGATGCTCTATTGGGTTGAGATCTGGTGACTGTGGGGGCCATTTTAGTACAGTGAACTCATTGTCATGTTCAAGAAACCAATTTGAAATGATTCGAGCTTTGTGACATGGTGCATTATCCTGCTGGAAGTAGCCATCAGAGGATGGGTACATGATGGCCATAAAGGGATGGACATGGTCAGAAACAATGCTCAGGTAGGCCGTGGCATTTAAACGATGCCCAATTGGCACTAAGGGGCCTAAAGTGAGCCAAGAAAACATCCCCCACACCATTACACCACCACCACCAGCCTGCACAGTGGTAACAAGGCATGATGGATCCATGTTCTCATTCTGTTTACGCCAAATTCTGACTCTACCATCTGAATGTCTCAACAGAAATCGAGACTCATCAGACCAGGCAACATTTTTCCAGTCTTCAACTGTCCAATTTTGGTGAGCTCTTGCAAATTGTAGCCTCATTTTCCTATTTGTAGTGGAGATGAGTGGTACCCGGTGGGGTCTTCTGCTGTTGTAGCCCAGCCTCAAGGTTGTGCGTGTTGTGGCTTCACAAATGCTTTGCTGCATACCTCGGTTGTAACAAGTGGTTATTTCAGTCAAAGTTGCTCTTCTATCAGCTTGAATCAGTCGGCCCATTCTCCTCTGACCTCTAGCATCAACAAGGCATTTTCGCCCACAGGACTGCCGCATACTGGATGTTTTTCCCTTTTCACACCATTATTTGTAAACCCTAGAAATGGTTGTGCGTGAAAATCCCAGTAACTGAGCAGATTGTGAAATACTCAGACCGGCCCGTCTGGCACCAACAACCATGCCACGCTCAAAATTGCTTAAATCACCTTTCTTTCCCATTCTGACATTCAGTTTGGAGTTCAGGAGATTGTCTTGACCAGGACCACACCCCTAAATGCATTGAAGCAACTGCCATGTGATTGGTTGATTCCATAATTGCATTAATGAGAAATTGAACAGGTGTTCCTAATAATCCTTTAGGTGAGTGTATAAACACTACATGAAAGGTAATATCCGAAAAAGGTCGACTTCATGGGGTCTTCAAAAAATGAAGATAGATCTTAAATGCCATTTTCCATTAAAAGCAGCTGAAATATCGAGCATGAAAGGTACCTGTGCGACTGATGGAGCGCTGCAAAGACCCTGCATGAGAGGACTGAGAAATCTGATCTGCACTCTGAGAGAAAGAGAGAGAGAACACTCATTAAGTATAATATTATGCATTTATGACAGAATGAGGTGGAGGGAGAGGGAGAGTGTAAATGTGAAGGACTCACTGCACATCTCTGTTTCGGGCCGTTGGGTGGAGAGCTGCTATCTGAATCACCACTAGAGGGACACAGAGATCAAATCACAAAACGACAAAAAAAAATATGTTGACTGCTTTGTGAACTTCACTAACTAGCCAACTTCAGAGTGAACTAGCAACACAACAACCACATCATGCATGTTTTATGAATTTACGTTACTCTTAAATAAGGCATGTCTATTTGATCTGACTGTTAATTATGCCGCCACAGCTAGTATTCAGATTTGTGCCTTCTCTTTGTTAAAGAGATACAGAATTCCACAACAAAACATAAACACCAGCACGCGAACACATAAACGCATATGCGGACCATTCACTCCACTCTTACCCTGAAATGCTTCCTGTTCCTCCGTGCTTTGTCGTCGTCGCCAAGTTACTTCCTGTTTTTACAATAATCTTCTGCAAACTGTAAGACATCAAACTCGTATTAGTCAATAGCCTCCTAATACAAAAGCACACAGGACTTGTTCATAAAAAAAGAGCATTCTGGGAGAGCCCTGATGTTTTTCTTCTGACTGTGTTTTACTATGATTCATTCTTTAAGACACAAATGAAGTAAAGACACACGACAGCAGATAACAGTGGTTTCCTTTACAAGTACAATGGCTTTGATGACGCAGCATCAGCAAATAAATAATAGAGGCCATTTTAAATCCGCTATGTGCTTTTGAAAACTTGCTTGCTGTGCATTAGCAAACAGGATTGTTCGTTCGATCGCCTCTTAGGCCTAACAGTCTTTTTGACGCCATATCACCCATGTTTCACTTCCACATTTCCTGGATTCATTCAATCCCATCATCCACTCACGTGCTGGCTTTGTCTCTCTGTTGCTGGGCTCTTTCTCTTTCCTGCCAGATAAGCAAGTTTCCAGGCCTCCTCCTCTCCTCTAGAGTGGGACTGGATGGTGAGCCGGAGTCTGAACCATCTCCAATCACAAATATTCTGAAAGGAAGTAAAAGAGAGATTTATGGGGTTTTTTAAGCCTTCACCAAAAAGTCACTACTGAATATACAAATCCACTATACAAGGGTGTTGTAGGTGTGTTGCTAAAGTTTTTGTGTGGTTTTTAGTCATTGCTACGCAGTTTCGAGGGTGATTACTTACTGGCTCAAGTCAAAAGAGTCTATTATTTTCTGGTCACTAAATATGGCAATTTAAGTCTAAGGGATTTTTAGTCCAATTTAAATCACCCACCAGGTGAAAATCATACGTCTGATTGCTTAGAAACGTAATAACACATCTTTCCACAACAAGCCGGATGATTTTAGCTATCGCTTATGGTTAGGAGTTGAGCAATAATAGTAAGTGATGTTTGCTGTAAGGCTGCAATACTCTACACAACTTTGGAACGGATTTAAAAACGAAACGATAGAGAATCTCACACTATCAGACTGTTATGTCTTTCCAAACACAACAAACTCACGCAGAAACATGTGTATTGTTGCTTGGAGATGTATATCAGATGAAAACAGATATGTGTTCTAAAATTTATATCCTCCAACTTAATGGAATCATAGTCGAAAAAAATTTTATATATATATATACACACACCATCGCACACTGCGATTTTTCTGTGAAATCTGTCAACTCCGACTGCCCAAAATCTTCAGACTGGCTCTGCCTTTCGGCAACTAGCATTGACTTCTGTGAAATCTGTCAACTCCGACTGCCCAAAATCTTCAGACTGGCTCTGCCTTTCGGCAACTAGCATTGACTCCTCCAGATGGTAAATCTGGGCAAAAGTCATGGAGTGTATTCCAGCCTTCAGCAAACTGCACTAATATATCTACAAACTCAAAGAACAGGAGGAAGAATGTAGGACTGCATGATACTGGGGGGGGGGGGGGGAAACTGACACTGCGATATTTCGTTTTTTCTGCATTATATATTGCAATACTCTTATTCTTTTACACTTTTTAACATAATACTTGAATAGCTCTATTTGGGAAGAATTTAATATTCTAGAATGATTGGAATGATTTTGTAGGGGATTTTTGCATAGACATTACAAATTACTTCTTTTTTTTTCTCTGAAGAATTTTCTTTAGAGCAAATCATCATTTTAGGGCTGAACAATTTGAGGAAAAACTTGAAAAAATTTGTGGTTTTCACACTTGGGTAAAATCTTTACACTAACAAACTCAAACCTCTTTCAGTAACCATAAAGTGATAAGAATAATAAAAACCAGCAACTCTTCATACGTAGGCCACATTTAAATTTGATCATAAAGTAATAATTATCATACTTTGTATTATGATTATTTAATAGAAGTATTAAACCATTAATATATTGTAATAATGATAATACTGCACTGTATGCAATCAAATATTTTATATTCATAATTTTTTTGTAGTACAATTGTAAATTTAGTAATTTTCAAATGTTAAAACCCCAAGCTTTTACTATGGTGAACAACAGCAGGGAGATTTTACAGCTTTTCCTTTGTTGACAACAGGTTTGCAAACAATTCTCATTAGAAATGAAGTGAAACGTGTGGCACTGCTAGCACACATAACATTCCCAAAATGCACATTACAAGAAAATCAAACTCGCAGCACAGTTGGAGTTTAAGTGGAGCAGCATTTACTGTGAATCAAGCCGCTCCAAGACTCTGAAACACCAGATATATCGCACATGGATGGAATAATGGATAGAATAATCTATTTTTTAGATTGGATTATTACTTTGTACTCTTTGTACTATCTTCAATTTGTCTGCTGTTATAACGTTGAATAAAGCAGACCAGTTTACTGAGTAACTATGACAGTAAGATACTCAGTTACACTGAAACTGTGGGAGGAAATTCACTGTTGACTTTTCCCAGCACTCCCTCACGGATTGACCTTGCGTAATCATAGTGGAGGAGGGATCCAGCATACTTTAATTAAGAGACTCTGTGTTTCACAGCAACTATCTGAACATGTATTATAATCAATTAAAGGACGTCACTGTGGCCTTCAAATCACACTGAAACAGTAATTCTGACTGTCAGCTTCTTTTTTCTACCTTTGCATTTTGGTCTTCACAATGATGTTTTGAAACACCTTGGAGAACCACACTCTAAGAAGAGCGACTGGAAATTTTCCGGCCTGCTGCCATGAGACAGTCTGATGTCTCCCTTTCCTCCATTTATCATGCCCGCCCGCACGTTACATAGCACGAGTACAGATCCTTACCAGCTGTATTCAAATGCATTCAAATTTGTGCACTCTTTGTGACTTCCTGGCACTCTCAGTTTATTTTGCATTGTCTATATTGAATGCAGTACGTCTACATGACTGACGTTTCTCCATAGCCAACACTGAGGGCAGATCTATGACGAAAAATATGATACAAAAATTTCACTCTGTTCCTTGGAAAGAAAATATTACATCTGCCTGACAGATTGCTAAACTATCTGATCCAGATCAAACCGAAACTATTTGAAATGTTTGAAAAATAAACGTGTCTAACAAGAAACTGTGTGAGATAACCTGATACCACACTTGAGCACAGATCAGTATCTTGTGACTGTAGGTCTAAAAGTTCCAATATCGGTCACCTAATAGGCTGGTCAGATAAGCCAGCGAGTGTTTACATCGAAATACACTAGCTGGGTTATTTTGACATGGCTCAAATGCAAACAAATTCCTATTTCTGACAGCTCTGTGGGGCCCTTCTTTATGTGAGGACCTTTCAGAGGCATTTTCCATTTTAATAATAACAGGTTTCGTGCGCAATGTATGTATTTATGCAAATGGCATAAGCCCTTACCTGCTGCCTGTAGAATCAGGGCTCTGGGAGGAAGTGCTGCTGGAACTTTCACTATTTTCCTGTCATGGAGAGAGGGGACATTATATTAACATAATTTTACCTTATGAGTTCTACATTAAAGTTCAAATGGGTCAGAAAGATTTTTTAATTCATACTTTTATTCAGCAAGGATGCATTCCATTGATCAAATGTGACAGTAAAGACATTTACAATATTATAAATCATTTCTATTTCATATAAATGTTGTTAAAAAAAATATTGTTTTCAGCATTGATAAGAAGAAATGTTTCTTGAGAACCAAATCAGAATGATTTCTGAAATATAAAAAAGTCATTTTAAATATTACTGTTTTTACTGTATTTTTTGATCATATAAATGCAGCATAAGAGACTTCTTTCAAAAACATATAAAAAATATCTTGCCGACCCCAAACTTTCAAACGGTAGTGCATATGTCTGAAAATATATTGAAAATGTAGGAAGTGTTCGTTAACTTAAAGGTGCACCAAGTTATTTTTTTCCCATGTAAAAGTTGTAACCCTAAAGAATAGTGTAGTAGACAGCACAATGGCAGCCATGTTGAGATCGCATGACTTGAATATTTCTCACTTCATCAGTTACTAATCACAGATAACAAATATGCTTGCAAATGTGGTATTTCTACAAGAGCTACAGTATGTTTACAGATTTTCATCAATTCAAATATAACTTGACTTTATTGTTTATATGTACCCTGAACTAAAATAAAAAGTAATCTAAAAATATCTCTGTAGTTTTGCGTATGTAAATGGGTACATTAGTGTCAACATTACCATAGCAACAAGAGCCTATTAGCATTGCTGTGAGATTGAAACATTCCTGCAACTTTCATTTCCTCAAAAACTGATTTGAATAAGTCATTGCTTCTTACTTTTTGTCCATCCAGTCTCTCAACAACCTTTAAATCCTTTAAAATGATAAGACAACCTGTTTTCACACTCACACCATTGTTATTGCTGTGACTGAGGTAGTTTTTGTTCTGATTGGTCAAAGTCGAAATATTAAGTCGAACAGATTACAAGCTATTGACATCAGTAATAGACTACTATGAAACTATTGTTTGTTGCCAATAGTTGTCAATATAGATCTTCAACTTCCAAGACCACTGGAGTTTCAGCCAGCACATCATAGGGTCCCATCTGGTCCAAAAACAAAAGTACCGAGTGCACCTTTAATGTTCAGTGTACTGCAGTAAGTCCTCCTGACCTGAGGGGACTCTGTAAGTGGAAGGTGACACCTCTCCTCCTCTTCCTCCATTACGCTGTTGTCTATGAAATCCACTTGCTCCAGCTCTCCATTCACTACAGAGAGGACCAAGAGTTATAGAAGCATTTAACCCTCTGGGGTCCTTCGGCCCAAATGGACCCGAAGCATTTAAATATATATATTTTTTTAAATCATTGCTTTATCGGAATGGTCCGAAATTTGGTGACTTTGTTGGTACTTGGCATATGAACACCCCAAAAAATTGGGGACAGGATCTGAATAGTCTAAGTGGTTGTAAAAAAAATAGTCACACTCAGGACCTTCGGGTCCAAATGGACCCGCATAGGAAATGAATGGGAAATTGGCAAAAATGTGAAAATACAGAGTTATTTTGTGCGTACAAACTACAAATCAGCCACGATCCAGAAAAAAAGCACACAACAGTGAAGGGGTGAATCTATAAAACATCAAGAGTGCAAAACAGACACATCCACACACACACACACACACACAAACACACTTTTATACACATTCACACTAATAAATTCAGATTACATATGGGTTTTGAATTTTTAAAATGCTCAGTTTGTCCACCAGATGGCATCCATCTCATTTCAAAAATTGCTTTCATGAGGCCTAGGCTTGACTCTAAAATGAAATACAGCTTTAAAAAAAAAAAAAAAAAAAAATTTTTTTATATATTTTTAATTTCTATTATATTCAATGGGGAAAAAATGGGTCATAATTATTGCATTAATATTAATTATAAATCATTTTTATTTTTGAAATTATCTCAAAACACCAAAAAAGAAAAGAAAAAATATTATAAAAAACAAGTAAAAAATAAAAAAAAGATGATTTTTTTTTAATAAATATTAATCCCACCCTTCCGGCCCATTTGGACCCGAAGGTCCTGAGTGTGACTCTGAAATGAAGGACCCCAGAGGGTTAAATCACAGGCAACCAATTAACAATATTTAGATTTTTAGTAGCTTTTATTTTAAAGCTTATTTTGGCAGTTTTTATTTTAGGTCCCCTGGTTGGGAACTACTGATCTTAAGATTCCATTAACCTTTACCTTTGGGTGTCTCTAGTGACGTATCTCTCTCCTCTTCCTCTTGAAAATTTGTGTGTTCGCGGGAAACGTCGGTCAATCGCAACGACCGTTCCGAGAAATCGTCAGCAGACTAGAGTGAAACAACACAGACGCACATACACAGCCGCTTGCATCATCCAATAAAATTTCTCTCGATAAGCCTTTAGCAACCATAGTCCAAATGGTGCATTAGTGCTTAAAGGTCTCTTTATACCTCATTTCCTGACCATCTTTTGCTGCCGCTGTCCACGCTGTTAAAGCCAGAATCCAGGCCACCATACTGACCGGGGAACAGGTCCTGATCAAGACTGAAGAGACCACACACACACACACATTAGCATTTTCACTGAAACAGGCGATTAAAGCTTTTCGACACCCTAAGACCTCTCGTCCTTGACGATCTCTCACCAGCTGTTGAAGGCGGTGGGCCGCAGAGCTTTCTCAAACTGGTCCTGAGTCCTTTTGCAGGCCTCCATGTTCAGATATTTAAAGATGTGGAACTTTCCTTTGGAGCAGATCTGGGCAGGGGGCATCTGGAGGGGGTTGTTGTCAAGGATGATGCTTTGGAGGTGCCGCAGATGACGGTAGCACACAGGCACGTTGGATATGCGGTTGCACGACACATCCAAACGGACGAGAGGCAACTCTGACAACTCTGAGTTGAGAGAAGAGTCAACTAGATCAATCTAATATATGTATAGTGGATCCAAAACATATTTGGACACTTAGTGCATGAATGACACAAATCGACAAACAAATATACATCACAACTCAAAACTCAGTTCTCAAGTTCACACAGGTGTCCTATCACAGGTGGAGTTCATCACACTTGCTATGCAATAATGTTTGACAAGCAGAAAGTGTCCCAATACTCTAAAATAAACGTTATCTTTCTTTAAAACAAATGCCACTTTTGGTTGATCATTTCTTTAATTCTATGACATTCGCATACTTTCAGAGTGGTTTAAATGTCCAAATATTTTTTGTGTCCATTGTATTAATCTGAAACAGATGTAAGCTTGTTATAAAAGCTTTCTCCTCTGACATCCACATAACACACTGGTTCCTTTTGTTTTGGAATTTTACACAACATCTTGATTTCTGTAAGCTTACAAGGTAATACACTATTGCTACATTTCCAAATGTTAACTGAAGTAATAGAAAATGTGTTTATAAGTTTGGGATACTGACCTTCTGGTAAAGTTGCAAGCTGGTTTCTTCTCAGATTTAAATCCCTTAAACATTCTAACTGGCCGAGCTCAACAGGAAGTGACTGTAGCTCATTACAGCTCACATCCTGGTGGAGAAACACAGTGAGTGGAAGAGACAGAGAGAAAGAAATGAACAAACGGAAGAAATTATAACAATGAAGATTGTGTGTACGTTGCAGTTTAATAATTGGTGGGGCAATAAGGGTTTTTAAGTAAGCAATTAATACTTCAGCAAAGATGCACTAAATTGTTTAAATTTCAAAAGTTTCTATTCAGAGAATTCAAAGAATCCGGGAATTTTTTTTTATCATGGTTTACACAAAATATTAAGCAGCACAGTTGTTTTCAACATTGATTATAATAATAAAGGTTCTTAAACAGCAAATCAGCATATTAGAATGATTTCTGAAGGATCATGTGACACTGAAGTAATAATGCTGAAAGTGCAGTGTCATCACAGCAAGAAATTACATTTTAAAATGTATTCAAATAGAAAACAGTGATTTTAAAAATGTTGATTTTGATATATTAAAATGATAAATAGTGATAATATTTCACAATATTACTGTTTTACTGTATTTTTGATCAAATGCAGTGTATGTGAACATTAGAAACTTCTTTCAAAAACAATAAAATATCTTACTAAAAAAAACAACCAAAAAGAAAAAACATTCCAATCAAATAAATTCATGTATAGGAAACACTGCTAGTGCTAATCTTCACACCACAGACAACACTGCCACATATGTAGAGACTAGGGCTGGGACGATACACCTATCTCCTGATTCAATACTATCACAATACTTTGGTACCGATACAAGAATATAGCAATTTAATATTGCTATGTATTGTGATTTGTGTTTGTTTTTTTTAACTCTAAAGCATGGGGAAAAGTTAAATGATACACGTATACATTAATGTGCATGTCGTATATCCGTAGATGTCTCTCCATCCGCCATTTTTCACTTTTTTGTGTCCACTAGTAAGAGATATGATGTCATACTCAC